CTAGAGGTGCACACCGCCATTCTAGCTGTGCACGTGGATGCTAGAGGCCCAAATGCAGGTCCTCGAGCTTGCACAGCAAGCACTTTATCCACCGAGCCATCTCCCCAGTCCGCAGACCTCCCTTTAGGCTCCTCACAAGCACAGATTGGGATGCAGCCAGAACACACTGTTGTCAGACACATTCATGTGTACGCTAGTGCATTCATTCACTGCACGTGTAGAACAGGCAGTTTGCTCACAATGTGACAATGACTTGGGCACTTCCCGACACCTCTGAAAACTTCCAGTGAGGAAGAACAGAGTTTCGGCTGGAGGACATCAAAGCAGGTATATGGATAGTTCTGTTCTCACTATTTCTAGTTCATGACTTAGCCAACCCGAATTCATCTGTGAGAGAGGCAGTGGCTAAGGATGCTACATTGCTTTTAGATGGATGCGAGATACTTTAAAAATGTATACATAGTTTAGAAATGTAAGAAGAAAATATATTATTTGAAAAATGTGGCATAAGGTAAGAAATTGCTTTGATGTGGGCAGAAGCAGATAATATCCTAAATGTATTCTATCTGGAATTATTTTCTTTGCATATATAATATATAGTAAGCATTCTCTGTGTGTATGTGTGTGTGCGTGTGTGCATTCATGGTTCATGGTGTGTGTGTGTGTGTGTGTGTGTGTGTGTGTGTAGGCAAGAACATGCACATGCAGAGGTCAGGGGACAACTTTCAGGAGTTGGTTCTCTCGTCCACATTGTTGATGCAGGTCTCTCCTGACGCTTGTATGTTGACCTCTGTTCCAGGACCCTCAGCGACAGGAGACATCCTTTAAGTCTCTCCCACCTCCCTCTAGGGTTAGGATAGCAGCTGCTCAGTACCCACCAGGCTTTACCTGCTGAGCCTTCTCCCACCCCTTGCACTTGGATGCTGGAGCACATGCTACACATGATATTCTGTGTGCAGAAGACGCTTCTTGAGCCTGAACTACATACATTTCTGCAAAATGTCCCTGTTGGGGAATTTGAGAAAGGATCCTTCTGGGATCCACAGTACAGCCCCAGGAGGCCGACAGAGAGCAAAAGGAAATGGCTCCCTGCTGAGTAGGCAAGCTGCTCAGGTATCAGTGGTCCTAATGCGCTGTTTATGGAGAGCTCCCAAGGCATCTGGGAAGCAGGGAACGTCATTACTTCTGACTCTGGATCACTCCTGGAAACTTCCAGCAGAAACACACATGCCCCACCCACGGTTCCTGGCACCAGTCCACAGTTACTTCAGCCGCCTTGGGGCCTTGCCACCCTGATCACCTGTGTGGTATCTGCCTCCAGGCCTTCCCTGCTCCCAGACCTTCTTAGTATAGAGTTTATCTAGGAGGAAGCCTGGCTTTATAGGGGTCATAGATAAAGTGCTGCTTGCTTCCCATGGAGGTCATTTCCTCTTGATTCCTCTCAATCTTTTGTGTAAGGGACTGTTCCCTGTGTGACAATGTTCCCATGCATATAATAACTACCATATGTTTCGTTATGTGTATGCTGATTGTGATCTGACCTTTAAACTTTATTGTGCTAATATATTAAAGTTGGTTTGTGATTGGATGATCCCTGTACTCACAGTATGGCCTTTCCCCCCCCCCCTTTTTAAGGCCATATTTCAAAAGATGTATTTTCTTTTCTTTTATGTTATCATTTTATCTGTGAGTTCATCTCTTTTGTTTGGCAGGTCAAAAAAATTCCAGTCATTTATTGAGAGCTGCTTGGTAAAGAACCACAGCCAGCGACCAGCCACAGAGCAGCTGATGAAGCACCCGTTCATTCGAGACCAGCCTAATGAGAGGCAGGTCCGCATCCAGCTGAAGGACCACATCGACAGAACAAAGAAGAAGCGGGGAGAAAAAGGTTCGCTGCACATTTGTATTTCTGAGAAGGAAACAAAGGACAGAGTGTTATTCTTTCGGGTGAGGGACGGCCTGGTAGATCACAGCCTTGAGCATCAGTGGGATGAAATCACCATTGAAGGCAATCTCCATGGGAAAAACAGGCCTGTGGCAAAGGCTCCTCTTCTAGATAGCAAACAAAGCCAGAAGCTCGTCAATGACAAGTGATTTATCTTAACTCAAATGAATATTCACATTTCAAAAAGTGACAGCTACACATGGCAGACAACCTACAGAATTCATCTAGTTGACATTTTTCTGTATTGACAGTCATCAGCGTTTATGTCTCTGTGCTCCGAGACCTGTTTCTAATTCAGTTGTGTAGAACTCAAACAGAACTCCTTTCTGGGTCAGTCATAGAGAGGCTACTAGGTTGTCAGGCTAGTGGCAGGGCATCAGATTTTGAGTCAAAGGTCCTGAGGTGCACTTCTTCATTTTGTAGATGCACAAATTCCTCTCCCATAATCTTCTCTGTGCCATGGAGAGCACAGGAGCCCAGATTTGAGACACTGAGACCATGCCCAAGTTGCTAGAATGGTGGCTTACAGCTGCATGTTCTGGTGCAGGGCCTGTGGCCAGCTGAGCATAAGGTAGGGAAGACGGGAAACCTAGGGCTTGACAGGAGTTCTAGGGAGGCCAGAGGCTAGAGGAGGTTGGTGTGCTAGACCAGAGGCTAAAGGAGGTGGGTGTGCAAGACCAGAGGACAGAATAGGTGGA